ACGGGGTCGGGTGAGCAGGCTCCCTCACGTGTTTGATGCACGTCACTGTATCCAGTGCGTAGAGCGATGCTCATGTTATCACTCACTGGATCATCTGATCGAGACTCGATAACTGACAGACCGCCGTTATATATCTTAAATATTACTGACTGCAGCATACGAAGAAACAAACAAACAAAAGATTCTGGAGGAGCCGACAACACCCCACCCTGTCAGTTCCTGAAGCTATCAAACGCTAGCAGCCAAGCTCAGGAAAGCAGTCCGTAAGGTGCGGAGCGAGACTGTCAAATATTTGATAATAGGGCTGAACACAGGAATTTAGATATTCCAAGATTAAAGTTGCAGGGCCAGTTGTGAAGTATGCTGGATATTCAATAACCTGTGACTGGAAAACTGGAGGCTGTGCATTTGAAATTTGCGTGTTTTTTCACTCTGGGAACAGTATTGTTAACAAAAACGTTCACGAACCAGGCATGTGTTTGACAACATTAAAATGTTGATAGCATATGGTATCTCGCACGTGCAGGTTTACAGGCATGCTGGGGCGGATCCATATGTTATTTCTTGTAACAACTTGTTTATTGCATTTAGCGACATTTCCATGCAGTTTTTCTCCACCGTTATCAAAACTGGCGTAAATGCAACCAAATAATGAGAGGTATATATCCATGAAATGTTGTGAAAGCGAGTGGAGTAACGACAACTCGTAATGGATAACAAGCAGCACTGAGATAATTAACTGGATGAAGCCAAATTTAGAGTAAGGATAACAAATATCACACAGGTATTGGGCCTGTCTGTAAGCTATAGCTAGGCTGGATAGTTATTGAAAGTAGACTTGTCTGATTAGATCTTCATAGGGGCGGGATTTTATACCCTTGATCTCCGTCGATAAATTAAAAAAGGTGTTATCCATAAAACTGTATGCTTTATTATTTCCTCACAATGCCGATAATATTTGTGCGCTGGCGATTAGGTGCCTGACTGAATCCAGGATGGGGCTCAACACTTAAAAGTGCTAGCATCTGTACTTTACTGAGAAGTCCCTTGAAGATCCGGGTTAGAATTGGTCTTCAGTAACCCATGCTTGTCGTAAGAGGCGACTTACCGTATCGGGTGGTCAGGCTCGCTGACTTGGTTGACACATGTAATTGAATCTCAATTGCGCAGGTCGATGCTCATGATGTTGATAACTGGAAATCGTCTGGTCCAGACTCGTTTATTTACAGACCGACGCCATATAGCTGGAATATTGCTGAGTGCGGCGTTAAACAGCAAGCAAACTAGCTAAGAAAGTGTAATCCCAGATATAGCATGTTACATAGTACCACTTTTGAAATGACATAGCGTATCTATAGTGAGAGAGTTTAATTTTACCCCGCGCCCAGCAATATTCCAGATATATCGCGGCGATCTGGACCAGACAATCCAATGATCAGCAGCATGAACATAGATCAACGCAATTGGGATACGATGACATGTGTCAACCAAGTCAGCGAGCCTGACCGCTGTTAGTCGCCTCTTACGACAAGCATTGGTTACTGAAGATCAATTCTAACCCGGATCTTCATAGATGCGTATCTATAATTCTCGGGATCCGTGACAATTTATATTTGTCAGAGGGGTGTACAAAGTACTTGATCGCTCAAGATAGCTGACTTTGGGTGCAGGTGCAGGTGCCTGACTCCGAGAAGGTTGGTGCGAGTCCCGGATGGGACCCAACCCCTAAGAGTGCATCACTATATATTATACTTTCAAGATTCAAAATTCTTTATTCTCCAAAGGTGGTATAAGAGTGAATTACAAAGTATAATAACACATTATTTAATTGATATGTACAACAAACATGATAGAGAAATGCTGTTGCACTCTTGTTGCTATAATATTTATATATTTTGCAAGGGATTTCTGTTCTTTTCTTTTACTAGAAGAAAAGAGTAGTTTGAAAGAGTGGAGGCTGGCATTTTTGGTATATTTAATTGGTATGAGATTTGCTCTTTGAATTTCTAATGATGTACAGCAAAAAAATGTGATGAAATTCGTCGGCTATGGATGATTAATTACACAGGTTGCAAGTTCTATTTCTTTTGGTGTATTGGTCCAACGACCATTTCCAATTGGTAATTTATGATTCGTTGTTCTGAATTTGAGAAAGGGATAAGCAATATATTTTGGCAGATAAAGGTAATTTTCAAATTTAGGTAATGAATTGTAACTTTTATAGTAAAAGCCTTTTGATCTCTTATTAACCGAACTATTTAATGATTGATAAAATTGATCACTGAGAACCGTGTCGACAAAGACTACTGAGAAAGTGTAATCCCAAGGGAAACATATGTTAAATAAACAGGTAGATCACCAGCGGAACATGTGGCGACAGGAATGTCTGAAATGTCTTTAAATGTAACCTTTGGTCATCATTACCATGTAATTATCATACAAGTTACATTTATGTAACCTTCCCAAGCTTGCAGCACGCCGCCTGCTGTTTCTGCATACATAGATACTACCAGCGTCATTTCCAGGTTAAAGGTCACTACACGTTGACGCATAAAGTGTCTTTACAATTCTGCGAACATAAATGAGCCTTTTTATGTGAATACCATGTCAAACGTTGGGAGTGGTTGCATGTTGAATAAACACGAGATATCCATGTAGGTTAAGTCAACGCAACAAGGTAAGGTCGGCAAGCTTAAGCAGCTATCACCACAATTTGTGGGATGCATCGTAAGTCTGTACCTGTCGCCCTGCCCCATACACCAACACCACGTGACAATATGACAACAGAGTGCACTGTCCCTTTAACAAGCGTATACGCCATGTCAGTTTAGCACCGTTACTGACCAATCAGAACGTCCGTTAGGAAACAAACTATTGTAATTCTGGGCTTCTATAAGTTTTGTGGTTTTGTTTCCTATGCTTTCAAAATTATATTGCTTACCTTCAGAGATGACTTAATTTGATCAATTATTATTATTATACGATATTTCTATACGATTTCTATACGCACCACTAGATGTCGGATCCCAACACAGTTTGTTAAGATCTAGCATATTTAAACAAGTGGAGCGGTGGGTTGACCCAGTTGTTAAAGCGTTGGCTCGGGTTCGAATCCCCACATGGGTACAATGTGTGAAGCCCATTTGTGGTGTCCCCGCCGTGATATTGCTGGAATATTGCTAAAAGCGGCGTAAAACCATACTCAGCCAGTCAGTCCTCAAAGTAGCGCTACGTAAGGTACCGTAAAGCCATACTCACTCACTCACTCACTCTAAACCAGGAACATAATATGTCGGTAAAAACAATAAGTATCAAGACACCACGGTGGCCTAGAGTGGTGGTCTTAGTTTGGTTGCTGGCAATCTTGTCTACCTGTTTTATTGTTATTGATAATTTATTCTTTTACATGCCCCGAAATGTGTTTTAAATATTAAATAGTTTGATTATATAAATTAAAGTCACGAAACCAATCATTTCGTTCAGAGACAGATCCAGTAAATCAATTTGTATAATTATCTCACAAACGTAATGGAATATATGCAACTTATAATGCAAGTGCGCCCATGTTTGCCTTCAAGGGGCCAGTATTTGATCAACATTTCAAGTGCAAATATAAAGTCCATGGAAAATTTGTTATAGAAAGTGAATTCGCGTTCATCCGTTTTTATGCGCATGAGTAGATGAATGTAGTGTTTGAAAACGTGCGTTATCTGAAACATATACAGGGTCGTGATTGGTCAAAATCAGACATGTGACCTGCACTAAGAAGTGTATGCTAGGTAAATGGTGAAGTGGTTACCCTGACAACCGAGTACAAAACGGGTAGAGTCAGTCATGTTTTTTTTGCAGCAGGGTTTCGAACCAACGCCCATTGAAACAGTTTTCCTATTTTTTACTTATTTGCAAGAATATGCAAATTGACAAAAATGCCGATTTGGGTGAAATATGACAAGCGAATGGATATGGTGATAATGAATTGGAACCCACTGTTAGGACATCCTGACATCCAGGACATCCAGGATATTCGAACCCAGACTCTATGAAGATTCCGGTTAGAATTGATCTTCAGCAACCCATGCTTGTCGTAAGAGGCGACTAACGGGATCGGGTGGTCAGGGTTGCTGACTTGGTTGACAGTCACATTGCCACATATCATCGTTGAGTAGATAGATGCTCATAGTATTGATCACTGGATTGTCTGGTCCAACTCGATTATTTACAGACCGCCGCCATGTTGCTGGAATATTGCTGAGTGTGGCCTGGCGTTAAAACAACATACAGGCTTCCGTGTGGTCGCCATCTACCACTAGTGTAGATTGTCGGGAAGAAAAAAATTACGCAGACTTCCCGCCCCGTGGGGTTGACACGTTTTAAGCTGCCCGGCTCTCCCTCACAGTAAAACAAGACTGGTATATGCGGAGTGACCTGCATACATCAAATCTTATTGTCATATCGTGATTCGCACGTCAGACTGGCGTTGACATATAGGACCGATGACACTCGTAAATGCTCAAAAAACGACATGTCGATCTCCCACGGAATTAGCCGAACACTGTCAGGTGACTCCGATGTTCAATCATTACCTCCATGCAAACCTCTTATTGTCATCATCATAATAATACATTTGCATGCATGTCATATATATACACTATACAATATACGTATTTGTATGTCTATGCACACACACGAGCGCGCACCAAATGAGTTGTACACGCCAACTCCATCTTAATAAAAATTCCTTGCCACTTTCGATTTCAAAACGGATCGCTACATGATCATATTGTTTTGTTTTTCCTCTTCAAAAAATTTCAATGTACTTTAATAAATTTTAAATGTCATCGGTTCCCAATTGCGCTCATCGATGCTCATGCTGTTGATCACTGAATTGTCTGGTCCAGACTCGATTATTTTCAGCCAGCCACCATATAGCTGGAATATTACTGAGTGTGGCGTAAAAATAAACTCACTCACTCACTCACTAATAAATTTTAATTTTCCAGCGAAAACTCAATGGCAAGAGAAAGCCCAGGCAGAGCTGAAGGCAGCATTGAAGGTGGTTCCAAACCTCAACGTTGCCAAGAACGCTATCTTGTTCATCGGGGATGGGATGGGACTGCCCTCAGTCACAGCGGGCCGGATTCTGAAGGCTCAGGAAACTAACCGGAGAGGTCAGCAACCTCTCTTCAGTTTCGAGCAATTCCCATCGCTTGGCCTGTCCAAGGTACGTGCGTTTATGTTAACCACAGAACAAATGAAAGCATACACGTAAATTAGACTTCCCGCAAAATTACGAACGATTTGAAAACACATTTCAATGTTAAATACAGACGCCAAAGAAATGTAATTTTTGAGGTACCAAACACAACTGTTGCGAACAACATGATTCTTGTGTATTGTATGCATTACTTTATTCAATGTCCATCTGTTCAACATGTCCATCCGTTTCCAGTTCTAATTCTAACATCCATATTCTATTCCTGCATGTTGCCTTTTACAGTAGATTAACTGAAATCAGTATAAGAACTAAATAAGTTTTAGGAAGTAATAAGCCATAAACAGAATTTAACTTGCTACTTGAGCAAATGGCTGTACTGCCACTTCCCAAAGTCATTGAAAAGACAAAATCACTGAGAGCATGAAAACTTCTTCAAAAGCACTGAGAAAATGTTAACCTTATGCCATGAAAACATGTATTCATATAATTTTGACCAACTTACAACTTGCCACAAAAATGACCAAATAAAGCAAAATTCCTACACAATAATTACCATGACTTACATGAAAAGATAGATTAAAGTTACTTTAACAAATTACAATTCATGAAACATGAAAAATACAATAATTATGCTTACCACTACTTTGGACATTCTCATGGTGGTTGTTTACTGTGCAAGCACATCGCCTCAAGTGGCATGCCCTGAGACAGTTAACTCTCTTTTTGAGGGTTATTTAAAAGTGGCAATGGTATAAAACGAAATAAGAGCAAAATTACACTTGGTTAAATAAAAAACTAGAAATTTAACGGAAAATGATTTTGAAAAATAAAGTTTTAGGAAAATAAGTGTTTTGACCAGAACAACAACTATGATAAGGAAGAGAGTTTTGATGGATGTCAATTTCTTTATTGTGAGGAACACAGCGTTTCGGAGTATATCCTTACACCTTCATCAGGTGAATGCCATTCAAAGACCTGATACAACTGTGAAACTGTACCAAATTCAGTTGTTGTTTTTCAAAACCTCCATTTTCAGTTATTATTGAATGTATACCTCGCCACTGTACTGCATACACTTCCATTCCACAAATTCGTATAGCATATAGCAATTACAAAGTATAAAAAATATACAAAAAAACAAAGGCGAAAATGGATATATAATAGTTCGACTAGAAATACATAATTGATACATATTATACCAAATGTTATAATATGTACACAAGATATAATTCAAAGAGCTGAAATATAATGTTCAGAAAACACAATGTACAGCAAAAGATAGACGTAAAATGTGAAGCTGTTTTCTTAAGTATGTAAGTGAGTGAGTGAGTGAATTTGGTTTTACGCCGCTTTTAGCAATATTCCAGCAACATCACGGCGGGGGACACCAGAAATGGGCTTCACACATTGTGCCCATGTGGGGATTCGAACCCGGGTCTTCGGCGTGACGAGCCAACGCTTTAACCATTAGGCTACCCCACCGCCCCCTGTTTTCTTAAGAATGTAAGGCATCATAAGTCGATAAGATAAGGAAAACCAAACTACACAGACAATTTCATACACAAGGAAAAGCACCCTGTGAATTGTTGAGATTAATATGCATAAGGATGACCCTCTTCCACGCGTATTTGGTACGAAGGAGAAAAGAAATCGAAGAAAATTCAAAATGCTTGGGTTATTACAATAGAGCCTGTAACTAAGTCACGTCTCTTTGCGAGACCTTAGTACTTCCGGTGACAAACAACATTTCATACCTTTTCGAATGGTCTCATAATTGCCAGTTGACAGAAAGGAACCGATAATCTTTGCAGGTTTTCCTATCTAACCATCCCCAAATTAGCCAACTATTACGACTGTCAACAGCTGTGACAGACAAGCATGTTTGTACACTTGGTCCGGTCTAGTAAAGTCATATTTGGCGGTCGCGCAATTTGGAACCAGAATTGGTTCTTAAGTATACGCGTCTCGAATATCGCAAGTTGGCGCGCGCAGGGGGAGCCGGGAACCAGCTTAGTAACGGAAGTAGCGTGCCGCGAGACTTGCCGGTCCTATATGTGGACATTGTCCATTATATTCTTAGAAATGCAACTTGATGCACAGTATGCACACAAAAAACATCACGGGTTTTCCATCACACCGAATTCCCTGAAAAGGTTGACGGCTTGCTTTAAGTTGCTGCTAATGTCAGCGGTAGCTACGGTCGCCTCGATGGACCGGAAGTCTAGTGTTGAGTAACCTTGATCCTTGACCCCTGCAAAGTAAATCGCTTGTTCCCATAAGCTATCAGTGAGCTGCCAACGCAATGCAGCTGTTTCGAAGGCATGTTTTGAAGACGGTTCAATGGACAGGAAGAATCACCTTGAAACCTTAATCCCCAGTTCCATATAACCGTTACGTCAATAGAACACCATTGACTCAATATTGCAACACTCTAGAAATTGGAAATATTAGACTAGCATGTCATAAAGTGATTGTGAAATGCCTTTATGGGCATAACATGGCGTTGAGGTAACCATTCGAATCATAAAACTCTTGCCTAAAGAGTCTCCAAGCACACACACTCTTTTGAAACCTTGGGATATTTCATTGAGAGCTGTCTGTAGAATGTTCAGCTTTGAGGCCTTTTGAGGAATCCACAAAGGGACACATGCGAGTGTTCATGAAATGCCAATGCTTACCCCAATCTTACTCAACTAGAGCGTCCACACCCACTCCCAGTTGATTAGACCGATGAAAAATGAAGATTTTCTACATTGAGTAGTTGCTAAACGGTTGGTTGCTTTGTGAAACGGGGCCCAGATCTTCAGCGTGACGAGCGAACGCTTTAACCACTTGGCTACGCCACCGCCCCATTTATGTTATTGGAGTGAGTTTAGTTTTACGCCGGATTCAGCAATATTCCAGCTATATGGCGGCGGTCTGTAAATAATCCAGTCTGGACCAGACAAACCAGTGATCAACAGCATGAACATCGATATACGCAGTTGGGATACGATGACATGTATCAAGTGATCCAGCTTGACAATCTGATCCCGTTAGTCGTCTCTTACGAAAAGCATGGGTTGCTGAAGACGAATTCTAACCCGTATCTTCAACTTGAAGGTACGTTTCAGTAAAGTACCATCAAATTTTAGGGTTTGAGTCCCATCCGAGGCAACACACACGCTTAGTCAAGCCCTGTTAATTCTAACCCAGGCCTTGACAGGTGAATTGCCGAGCGGCCTGTTGTACGAGGATCATTTTCATGAAACAAAATCCGACTAATTCCACAAGGGTGGACCTTTGAGTCACATTCTGAACACCATGACCTGACTGTAAGACGAATAGCGTGTGAATGTGTTGAGTTGTACGCCGCTTTAGCAATGTTCCAGCAATATCACGGCGAGGACACAAACAGAAATGGGCTTCACAGATTGTACCCATGTATGAATCGAACCTAGGGCCTTGTTCCTCAAAGCGATCACCTTAGCGCTACGACTGTCGTAAGTCTATGTTAAAGTATGGGAGTTACGATCACCTTAGCGTTACGACTGTCGTAAGTCTATGTTAAAGTATGGGAGTTACGATCACCTTAGCGCTACGACTGTCGTAAGTCTATGTTAAAGTATGGGAGTTACGATCACCTTAGCGCTACGACTGTCGTAAGTCTATGTTAAAGTATGGGAGTTACGATCACCTTAGCGCTACGACTGTCGTACGTCTATGTTAAAGTATGGGAGTTACGATCACCTTAGCGCTACGACAGTCGTAAGTCTATGTTAAAGTATGGGAGTTACGATCACCTTAGCGCTACGACTGTCGTAAGTCTATGTTAAAGTATGGGAGTTACGATCACCTTAGCGCTACGACTGTCGTAAGTCTATGTTAAAGTATGGGAGTTACGATCACCTTAGCGCTACGATCGCTTTGAGGAACGGGGCTCAGGTCGTCGGCGTGACGAGGGAACGCTGTTAACCACTAGACAACCCCACCGCCCCATCGACAAACGAACAAAATTGTACATCATTTCCAAGGGCAATTGCATAACTGCATGAAAATTCTGCATGGAGTGAGTGAGTGAGTTGGGTTTTACGCCGCTTTTAGCAATATCATGGCGGGGGACACCAGAAATGAGCTTCACACATTGTACCCATGTGGGGAATGGAACGCAGGTTTTCGGCGTGACGAGCGAACGCCTAAACCACTAGGCTACCCCACCGCCCCAATTCTACATGGAAAAACTTTCAAAGATGATATTTCTCTCTCGGGATGTTTGGATCAGGGCGGTGGGGTAGCCTAGTGGTTAAACCGTTCGCTCGTCACACCGAAGGCCGGGGTTCGAGTCCCCACATGGGATGCACTGTGTGAACCAAGTTTCAGGTGTCCCCCGCCGTGAAATTGTTGGAACATTGCTAAAAGCGGCGTAAAACTAATCTCAGTCAGTGAGTGTTTGGATCAGTGTTGGGATCAGTTTACGCTTTAACCCCAAGGCGACCCCACCGCCCCTCAACCTCTGCAGATTCACGACCAGTCGGAATGCCTTTTATCAGTCATTACTGACAGAGGTGAAGTACATTTAAACATGGTATCGCGCTCTGGAACATCAGACTTAAAGCAAGATATTTTTATCAACAAACAGGAATATCGCCCTTTATCTATATATACTCAAGTTCAAAGTTCGAAATGGGTAGGTGCCTCAATAAACGGTTATCGTGCACTAAACTGCAGCCAGTCTAAGACAGTATAACCAGTCTTACGTAATCTCACAGGCTCCAATACATTTCCACTTATCGTAAAGTCTTCCCACTTTAAACTCCATGAACATTAGTCTCTCTCCCTAAGAAGTGTCTGTTATATTTGAGGATTCCCTTGGAGTTGGGGAAATTTGGCACTTGGCAAAAGATACCGTAACGACGTTTGCTTCACCAGTTACGATTGCAACGTCTACAACCAGACGTTGTGTCCTGTTTGTAATGTCGCCGTTGTTGCAGCGACTTGTGCAGCACGAGTGAATACAAGGTTCAGAAATTGGAATTTCCTTTCTATTCTGAAAAATGTGTACACACGAGCGAGATCTCTTTTCCTCAGAGTCTGAATACCCAGAACCAATGTTCCATATTCGACTAGACTAAAGCTTAGTCTCTGAATATTATATAATATTGATAGTTACAAATGAACCCATTTAGATTGAAAAGGAGCCCCGGTCTGTTGGGAGATCTGGACTTGCTTCATTTAGGGCTTTAGCATTGCATGCAGGGCTAGGTAGTAGGGAAAATAATGTGGTTCAGGGACTGTGAGACAGACTTATATTCGACCTGCGAGTTCTGAGTAGAAACAGTCCTTCAATTGTTGCCCAGATATTCCACCATCTTCCATTGTACTAAATAACCTAAAAACGCGTCTGCATATTAACCACATCTGTTGATAAGGTTACGTGATCTCCTTGCTCTATCCCTCGCGTGGAATCTCTCCATCACCTACCATCGCCGCACTCAGCAGTATTTCAGCTATATGGCGGCGGTATGAATATAAACGCGCCTTGAACAGACAATATAGTGATCAATAGCATGAGTATCGATCTACGAAACTGGGATACGATGACATGTGTCAACCAATTCAGCGAGCCTGACCACCCGATCCTGTAAGTCGCCTCTTACAACAAGCATGGGTTACTGAAGGCCAATTCTAACCCTGTCTACATGGGTCTAGACTAAGGCTTAGTCTCTGAATATATATAATTTTGATAGTAACAAACAAGCCCATTTATATTGAAAAGGAGCCCTAGGGAGACCAGAGATTCAGAACCTGAGGAAATCTTGACTTGCTTTATTTAGGGCTTTAACACTGCAGATAGGGCTTGGCAGTAGGGAAATTAATGTGGTTCAGGGATTGTGAGACAGACTAACACGTGTCCAGTGTGTCCTCATTTTTTGTACACTGCATGAAACAATGAATTATCATCATGCCTGACTCTGGTGTGCAGGACCGCCTCCGTGGTGTAGTGGTTAGAGTGTCCACCCGGAGAGCGGAAGGTTGCGGGTTCGATCCCCGACCGCGTCATACCAAAAGACGTTAAAATATGGTACTTGTTGGTCCCTGCCTGGCGCACGGCATTAATGGGTACAAGGACTGGTCGGCTCGGAGTCAGTATAATGTGTCTGAGTGGGGTATTCATGCTTCACTGCGGCATGGTATCTCAGTGGGCTAGCACTATAAAACCAGCTTCAGTCTTGGCTAGTACAAGCAGCCGCACATACACATACACACGCATGTACGTCGTCATGTGAGAGAAATATTCTCAAGCACGACGTTAAACCCAATTTCACCTCACCTCAACACTGGTTTGGAATTGTTTGTTTCTGTGACGATAGGCGACATAACCTGTGGAAAATGACACTGGATGTATATCAGTGTCTCTGTGTGCCAAATGTTTGCAGTGAGTGAGTGAGTTTAGTTTTACGCCGCTTTTAGTAATATTCCAGCAATATCACGGAGGGGGACACCAGAAATGTTCTTCACACATTGTACTCATGTCGGTACCCGGGTCTTCGGCGTGACGAGCGAACGCTTTAACCACTAGGCTACCCCACCGCCCCCACAAATGTTTCGAACGTTTTGTCATAGCATGAAGTATTTCCACGCATTCAGAATGGTGCTTGAACATAACGGAATGAATGTGTTTTATGTTGACAGTTGTACACGAGTCTGAAATTAATGGAGCTGTTTCATCTGTTTCAAAGGTTTAGAACTGCAGGTGGGGCTGGGTCACCTCGACTTTCCTCGAGCACCCGTGTCATGACGACTTAGTCGCTTTTTCTCCAGCCAACCTGAAACAGCCAGGACAATGTTGTCACTGTCACTGATACAGGGTTTGTGTCAAGTATCCAAATGTTTGTTGTGTAAACAGAATAAAGTGGGTATCATTGTGTTACCTGCAGCTGCCTGAATGCATGTCACCAGGCTCGAGTACTTACGTCGTGTAACCGGAATATTGCTGGGTGCGGCATGAAACAGCAAATATAAGGGGAATAGAATGATCTAAATTTATATCAGATATCAACACATGTCCATAAACTTTTTAAAATCCTTTTAGTCCAAGAGATCTTTAGAGGTGAGGTGAGGTGAGGTGAGGTGAGGTGAAATATTTCGCTCATATCACGACGTGCATGCGTGTGTATGTGTATGTGTATGTGCGGCTGCTTGTACTAGCCCAGACTGAAGCTGGTTTTATAGTGCTAGCCCACTGAGATACCAAGTCGCACAGGTACCATATTTTAACGTCTTTTGGTATGACGCGGTCGGGGATCGAACCCACGACCTTCGCTCTCCGGACGGACAGGTTTTTAGATCCAATCTTCAGACATTGTGTCTATTGTAAACTTCGGTTATAACTAATTCAAAGGGGCCACTTTTCACAGTTCCATACTACCGTATTCGTCACACGCATTTCGATTAAAATATACAGCAAATGGTCGGGACAAAATCAGTTCGTTATAAACGTGTTCGTGATAAACGTAGTTCAATGTATCATTTACAATTCTTTATGAGATCTTTCATCGTTTGTAATAGGATTGCTTTGCGACATCAGTGACCTTGACCTTTCTTGACCTTTGTCTGAGCGCTTGTGACAAAGGCCTTCGGGTTTTCGTTCACATTCTAAACAATGTCTCCATATACACATTCACAGAGATATTTACACAGTTTAATTATATAATACAAACCATGTCGAACCTCATTTGATAACAGCCGAACACTGACACAGATTACTGTGTTTGCAGACGTACAACAACGACCGGCAGACCTCCGGTTCTGCCAGTACCGGCACCGCCTATCTGACAGGAGTCAAGGCCAACTATGGCACTGTCGGGGTATCTCCTGCAGTCAAAAGGAAGGACTGTGCGGCTTCCAAAACAGAGGAAGGAAAGCTGTCTTCCATTCACAAATGGTCCTTGAAAGAAGGTAAAAATGTTCGGATATCAGGGGTCGGGTATAACGATTAATTCCAGATATCATGAGGTCGGGTGCAACGATAAATTCCGGATATCATGAGGTCGGGTATAACGATTAATTCCGGATATCATTAGGTCGGGTATAACGATTAATTCCGGATATCATGAGGTCGGATATAACGATTAATTCCGGATATCATGAGGTCGGGTATAACGATTAATTCCGGATATCATGAGGTCGGGTATAACGATTAATTCCGGATATCATGAGGTCGGGTATAACGATTAATTCCGGATATCATGAGGTCGGGTATAACGATTAATTCCGGATATCACGAGGATGGGTATAACGATTAATTCCGGATATCATGAGGATGGGTATAACGATTAATTCCGGATATCATGAGGATGGGTATAACGATTAATTCCGGATATCATAACGATAACGATTAATTCCGGATATCATGAGGATGGGTATAACGGATATCATGAGGATTGGTATAACGATTAATTCCGGATATCATGAGGATGGGTATAACGATTAATTCCGGATATCATGAGGATGGGTATAACGATTAATTCCGGATATCATGAGGATGGGTATAACGATTAATTCCGGATATCACGAGGTCGGATATTGCAGTGTTGCAGCTGTATGTTACAATTTCACAGTTAAATGTTACAGTTGAACGTTTCAGTGTTACAGTTGAATGTTGCACGCTGTCACAGTTGAATGTTACAATGTTACAGTTGAATACTGTACAGTTAGTGTAACAATAATACCTGTATACCCCTAGGGAAATCTGTTGGCTTCGTGACGACAGCCCGGGTGACACACGCCTCCCCAGCGGCCGGATACGCCAACTCCGCCGACAGGAACTGGGAGGGCACGACTGAAGTTCCAACAGGTTGCAAGGACATAGCGGCGCAGCTCTTCGACAACGTTGATTTCAGTGTGAGAGATTATCTATTAATCTTATGTTTGTTTGTTTGTTTAACGCCACACCCAATATTCCAGTTCGGTCTGGGCTACATAATCCGGTGATTGACATCATGAGCGTCGATCTACTCAATCGGGATACGATGGCATGCATCATGCAAGACCAATTCTGACCCGTATCTTCATGACTTTTAATCTTATGTAAGAGCTAAAGTAAAATAATAATAATCATAATATCATAATAGTTATAAACGTTGGATAATCTGGATACGCGCGATCCAAATAAATGACGATGACGATAGATTTGAAACTGGACATTTGGATAGACACAACCATACTTCATTATATAAATAATTCCGAAGAGAGAAAGCAGAATGCCTGTAGTTACACCGTAGTGACATCACGTAAACTTTAGTTGTAACCAAGTGAAAGAACCTTTGATTAGACGAACCAAACAAGGGCGCGAAAATTGTTCCAGTCATTACCTCTATCACACTCCGGCACAGCGATGACTTAACATAACATCACTGCCACAGGCTAATTTGCATATCACGTGACCGGACTTTTATCTTGTTTGTAATCAAACGCGCATATTCATAATAAGAAGAGACTGGACTCACGAAAGCTGTTCGGCGCTCTCTTCACAATGTTTTACATTGTTACATATATATTCTTCCACAACTGCGACAGTAAGGTCTATGACAGTACATATTTAGATATCAAACTGTCTGCATCGTTTGCTCTCTATCAGCTTCGATGACAGCACACGGAGCCGTACAACCTATGTAAACAAAGGATCGCTACGCAAATAGAAATAGTGTTACATGTTTTTGGATATTTTCTCAGTGACACTAAACCATTCTATTAAAGATGTTTAGTTAGATGTGTAGACTCGTCAAAAGTAAAAGAGTTGAGAAATATGTAAATTATATTGAATGGACGGTGCAAGATGTGACGAATCGTCACATTTTCTGGCCTGTGGCAGAGATACTATGCTGGCTTGCCGCATGGAACTCTGGGTAGGAGAGTTTACCTCTATGTTGAATAAGGTTACGAAGTAACTTTCATTTGCACCAATTGTCTCGTAGTACAATAAGAAAAGATCAAATTGTTTCACAATACATAGATTGTGTCTCTGAATATATTGTTCCCTATTACGTCAGTTGTTTCTGAGAACAAAGGTTGTTTCTTATACAGCATTGGTTTCTTAATACATCAATATTGTTTCTGCCGGTTCTGGGTACATCAATCAATTTTGATTGAATTGAAACATATTTTTTTCAATTAAGAAACGGATTGGGCACAAGTTATCCAACTTAAATAAGCCCTCTCCACATAGTTACAAGTGTATATTACAAAAAAGTTCAACAAGAGGCAGACAAAGGGTATAGATATGTACAGACAGAGTTATTTAAATCGTTTAGTGTTATGGATGTAGATATGTACACTTTTAAAAACATTCTGATTTTCGCTAAGCGAGAGACCTGCATTGCCATTTAAGATGAGATTAATATCAATACATGCTCTATTATTATAATCATTTTTAACACATCAACAGAGTCCCTGTATACCGCTGTTGTTTCTCAGTACAGTCGAACACCGTAGTGTGGAACTTACGCTTGTCTCGAATTAAATTACATTTGTAACGTCATTCAATTGTCTGCTCGCTCCAATACTTTTCAGGAATGGAGCGATGTGTACCAGTTTCAAATTTAAGACTTCAATTTGTCATTTTGATATTTAATTTTGATAACAGAAATATTACCAATACTTTGAAAGTAATTTAAGTTGGGTAATATCCTCGTAACTCTCCATGGGGCCTCGGCTCCATTATTTTTAAGGAATGGAGAGATACTCGGACATTACCTTCTACGTAAAAGCCAGGTCCCCGCATATTCATGTTTAGTCATCATGTTGCGGCTGTGTCGAACATCGGATAACTCGAAATACTCACGTTGGTCTCGACTTCGACAGGTTATCATGGGTGGAGGCCGCCGCTATATCCTGATGGACAACCAGACCGACCCGGAAACTAATTCCAAGCACAGCAAACAGAGGACTGATGGGAGGGACCTCATTAAGGTGAGTGAGTGAGTGAGTGAGTTGGTTTTACGCCGCTTTTAGCAATATTCCAGCAATATCACGGCGGGGGACACCAGAAATGGGCTTCACACATTGTACCCATGTGGGGAATCGAACCCGGGACTTCGGCGTGACGTGCGAAAGTTTTAACCAATGGGCTACCCCACCGCCCCCATCAAGGTGAGGGTCAACGTTAAGGGACAAGTTCGTTCCCTGACACGTTATTTCAAGAATATCGATTACTGATTAGTTTATTTGTATTGTTTGCATATTTTTGCACCTTAATCTAAAAATTAGGCTCCCTTTGGCAAAGCTGCGCCGCAGGCATCACACCCAGTCACCCCCTGACGTCACATTGATTTTTAATCGATAAACGCTACCCTGGATATCCCATCGCATCTTGGGGATATCCGTATCTACTTGGGGAATCGAACCGGCTCTTCGGCGTGACCGAGCGAACGACACTTTCTGAAAGCCATGTTATTTTTATTTTTATTTTGGCTGTTGCTTAACGCCGCACTCAGTTTTCCAATTATATGATGGCGGTCTATAAATAATTGAGTCTGGACCAGACAATCCAGTGATAGACGAAAGCCATGATACAGCGACGTGTGTGCCGATATATGTGAACACACTACTTCTGAAACAATACAATAACAGAAAAGAAAATGATAAATTCAGAAACAAATTTTTTGGAAAAACTTATTATAGTTGAAATATCATAACATCTTGCGAGAACATTCATTCAGGCCAAATGGGTGAGCCAGCATTTTCTCCCATATTGGCGAGAAGGCGCGCAAGAACATGCCCACAAATTTAAATATGTCTGACCTTGTCCCAGTGGTAGGAAGCAGCTTGACTCTCAAAGACAGGGTAGCAATGCGTGAAGCCCCATTACGGGTGTTCCCAGTTGTGAGTTGCTTGATCATTGTAAAAACGGCGTAAAACAATATTCATTAATTCGAAGGAAACCCCATGTCATCTTGGTCTCTGTGTCTGTGTCAGGAATGGAAGGAGAAGAACATGAAGGCTGGGAAGAAGGCGGAGTATGTGTACAACAAGGGCCAGTTTGACGCCGTCAACACAGCCACCACAGATTCTCTTCTTGGTACGTACAATCAAGGATAATCTACTACGTTATATAGTCTCCCTGGTACAATGTGACGCCTTGTCATTCTCATCAAATAAACCCGTGAAGGTCCGGGTTAGAATTGATCTTCAGTAACCCATGCTGGTCGTAAGAGCCGACTGACGGGATCGGGTGGTCAGGCTCGCTGACTTGGTTGACACAGGTCATCGGTTCTCAATTGCGTAGATCGATGCTCATGCTGTTGATCATTAGATTGTCTGGTCCTGACTCGATTATTTACAGACCGCCTCCATATAGCTGGAATATTGCTGAGTGTGGCGTAAAACTAAACTCACTCACTCATCAAATAAGATCTTAGTACTTCCGACCGAGAACTTATTCCATTATGGGTCACAACAGAACGGCCATTTGCTGAATAAGCACATGAATGGTGACACGTCAAGCCCATTTCTCCAAGCTTTCCATTCGTGATCCATTCGAGTCATTCCGGGACTAGCCGAATGCAGGTTACGGAAAACACATTCGACACCACTCGCCCCTTTCCGTAACCTGCAAGAAGACTCGTCCCCCACTCGATGCTTGTTATGTGCAAAAATACGACAAACCAATCAGAACGCGCGAAATCACTGCGGTACTTTGGTAAAAATAATCCCGAGTACTTAAATCGTTTATGGCATTATGTCATTGTTTCAAAAATCATGAAACATATATATCGTCATATTGAAAGTACAAAGAACGTAGCTAACAGGATTTTGCTGCCTGTTATGAAGTTTTTAATAAGAATCATGCGATTGACGGTGAGAGATTCAAATACACGCACGTGCGTTTGTTGACACAACGGCTCTCATGGGTCCAACTGAGTGTATTTCTGACGATCTTGCCGGGCTTGTTATGGAGATTGTACGTGCGCTTCAAACAATTTTAGGAAATGTAATTACAAATCGCTACGAGTTTCAAAACAATAATATCGTATTTGTATGTAACTAATCAACTTTAATCTCAAACATTGGGCTTATATTTCACATCTCTGGGGATATTTTAGTCTGACTATTTTTTGGTCATTCATACTTTTTTCAGCAAATTCATTTAAAATTCCACCAGGGGTATGACAGCAAAATTACACGAATGTTCATTTGAGAAAAATATTTTAAAGTCATTCTTGAGTATGTGCTTTGGGATTTAATGTAGCTGAATTTTAAAAACTTTTATTGGCATGCATATTCAATAAAACAATTCCCATTTGTGATTAGTAAACCCTAATTGGAAATATAAGGTTAACAGCTGGTAATAATTACATTAGAATATGTCTTTAACAAATATGTTTTTCTCCTTCTTTTAGTTGTATCTAAAGAGGTTTAATTCTTTAAAATAAATAAATAAACAAAGCCCCAAAACAACAACCTAGCAATACAATGTACATGTGCTTCGGTGATAATTAAGAAACACTGGAATCAAACAGGGATAGAGTTATCGTTTTTGTTAAAGTAGTTCTGATGTTCATGCGCCAATATGAAATCCTTCCAGAGGGGCACAAATCGCTTGTCCCGGAATAACACGAGTTGGTCACGAATGCGGAAAACATTCCATTCGTCACCACTCGCCCCTTTCCGTAACCTTTCCGTAACTCGTCCCCATCTCGATGCTTGTTATGTGAGAAAATACGACAAACCAATCAGAACGCGCGTAATAATTGCGGTGCTTTGATAAACTTAATCCTCAGTACTTAAATCGGTTATGGCATTATGTGTTTGTTTAAAAAATCATGAAAAATACATATCGTCATATTGTAAGTACAAAGAACTTAATGTCATGGAAGGTGAGAGATTCAAATACACGCACGTGCGTTTGTTGGCATAACGGCTCTCATGGGTCCAATTGAGTGTATTTCTGACGATCTTACGGACTTGTTTTGGACATTGTACGTGCGCTTCTAACATTTTTAGGAAACGTACTTATACATCAAAACAATAGCAGTCTATCTATATAAAACTAATTATCTTTAATATTTAATATTGGGCTTATAGTTCACATCTCTGGAGATATTTTAGTGTGACTTTTTGGGATCATTCATATCTTTTTAAACGAATTCATTTATAATTCCACCAGGGGTACGACAGCAAAGTTACACGAATGTTCAGTGAGAGAAATATCTTAAAGTCATTTTTGAGTATCTGCTTTGGGATTTAATGTAGTTGATCTTTATTTTTTTATATTTGCATATCCAATAAAACAAATCCCATTTGTGATTATTAAACATAAACATAATTGGAAATATGAGGTGATAAGTACGATAACAGTAATAATTACGATAGAATATGTCTTTAGCAAATATGTATTTCGCCTTCTTTTAGTTGTATCAAAGAGGTTTATTTTTTTCAGATAGATAAGTAAAAGCAACAATACAATGTACGAGTGCTTCGATGATATTAAGTACAGTCACACAGGAATAGAGTTATCGTTCTTGTTTAAAGTAGTTCTGATGTTCATGCGCTAATATGAAATCCTTCCAGAGGGGCACGAGTCGCTATTCGGCTTGTCCCGGAATAACACGAGTTGGTCACGGAATAACACGAGTTGGTCACGAATGTACGGAAAGGGGCGAGTGGTGACGAAAGCTCACTATCAATTTATCAGAAACTATCTATCTTCATTTCAGGTTTATTTGCCCCGAGCCATATGTCATACGATCTTGAGAGGGACAAAACCGATGCAGGGGAACCGTCGCTGGCGGAGATGACAAGAAAGGCCATCCAGATTCTCAAGAAGAACGACAAGGGCTTCTTTTTGTTTGTGGAAGGTAGTTTCAGTTGTACTTTGATACCCATAGATCTCTTAATTTGCCATTGCACACTGCAGCCCTTAATGTCCAAATATGCGTTTTATCATTTTCCAGTATGGGGAGGGACAATGTTGTTGTTTCGAGGCTGTCTCTATAAATTCGAGTCTGGACAGACAATCCAGTGATCGACATCATGAACATCGATCTACGCAACTAGGATACGATGATATGTGCCCACCAAGTCAAAGAGCCTGACCACCTGGGTCCCGATCCACAAAGCGTTCGTAACGTTACGATCTATCGTAACTCTATAGTTTATCATAGGGTTACGAATGTCGTAGCGCTACGGACGTTTTGTGGATCGGGACGCTGGTCCCATCAGTCGCCTCTTTAGATCTCCTCTTTTAATCCCCATCGCGTGTGTTGGCTCGAAAAGGGAGCGATCCACAAAGCATTCGTAACTTTAAGAGCTGGCGTAACTCTATAGTTATCATTTTATCATAGGCATACGAATGTCGCAGTGCTACGAACCGTTTGTGGATCGGGACCGTGGACCTTACCTTATATGCGAAACCAACTGGGTCAGGTCTGGTGCTGACGAACCACGAAACATAATGCGGGCGGACCCGTGATCATGTGTGCTGGTGTATCCAAGGGACATAACTTTCGACAATTTGATACACCTGACGTTCACTTGGGAACATAAGCTGATGTGAATACCGTGATCTCGAGTCATTCCGGAAAAAGCCGAGCCTTGTAGGTCACGGAAATCTAAGAACGATTGGGCAGAATCAAATGAGTTGCCATTAACAAAATGCCCGTAACCTGCAATCGGAACAGCTCGTGCCATTCCGGGACGTGGCGAGCCTAGGTTACGGAAACAAGCGAATGATTACGAACTGACACTGAAAGTCAACCGGGATGGAGGAAGGCCGCAAATTTTATTATGACTTTTAGTTTTAGTTTCATCTTGGAAAAATTCAACTCTGAAAACTGACGCTTGTTTGTGCAACAGGTGCGCGTATTGATCACGGTCACCATAACAACTCGGCCAAGAGGGCTCTGTATGACGTTCTGTCTCTGGATGATGCCGTTGCTGCTGCTGTGACGGAGACTGATGAAAAGGACACTCTGATTGTCGTCTCGGCAGACCACTCCCACGTCTTCGGCATTGCTGGCTACCCATCCAGGGAAAATGATATTTTTGGTAAGTTACGAAGCTGTTTGTACGTCGATTTTAGCAATATACCACGAATATCAAGTTGGCGAACCATACACCAGAAATGAACCGCACGCATTGTACCAGTGTGCCCGGATCGAACCCGGATCTTCGGCGTGACCAGCGAATGTTTTTACGATTAGGCTAACCCGCCGCCCCTTTTCGGTAGCATGAGCTACCGATTTTTTAAACAATAAATTAAACCAAAAACGATTTAAGTACTCGGGATTATTTTTATCAAAGTACAGCAATCATTACAGACAGACAGACAGACAGACAGAATTTATTTATTTAAGGCCTCAGGCCCATACAACAATCATTACGCGTGTTCTGCTTGGTTTGTCGTATTTTCGAACATGACAAGCATCGAGAGAGGGACGCTTCTTGGGTGTTACGGAAAGGGGCGAGTGGTGACGAATTGAATGGCGTGTATTAAATCACAGGCGGCCATTTGCGGTTATTGGCTTATTGTGTTGTAAGAGTTATTTCCCCTGATCCACAACTGTGAGATTTTACAGCGTCACATGGCTTCAGCACTCCACGCAATATTGATCGCCATTTGTTGGTATTTTGTTAGTTAACGCCTCACAGTAATAGTTCACTTAAATCATCGAGTCAGGACCAGACAATCCACTGACTGGCATCCCCCGATCCCGTTAGTTGCCTCTTGCCCATAAACCCCAGGTACAAAATGTCCTACACCTGGCTCAAATAAACGTGTGTGGTTATGTATTGAAGTGTCCTGAAGTGGCTTGACATATCTTTTCAATAGGGTTTAGGCCTCTTTCATGTCAAATCACGAAGGAACACCTGAAATGCGCTTCACACACTGTGCCCATGTGGGGATTCGAACCCGGGTCTTTGACATGACGAGTGAACGCTTTAACCACAAGACTACAGCACCGCCTGACGTCTCAAGTGAGAGTGTTAGAACGGTTTTATGCCGATTTTAGCAATATTCAAGCAATATCACGACGGGGACACCAGAAGTGGGCTTCACACATTGTACCTATGTGGGAAATCGAACCCAGGTGTTTGAGGAGCGAACGCTTTAACAATAAGTCCGAAGTGTCAAAGCAATGTAAAGCTTACCCAAGTGTGTCATATTACCCCATTGTTGTTGCTGTGTTTGCAGGTCTGGTAGATATTGTCCCAGAAGACGAGAAACCCTTTGACAAAATGCCCTACACCACGCTCTTCTACGGCAATGGGCCTGGACTAGCACGCACCAACCTCACTGAGGTGGACACGGGTAAGGATATTTACTTTTATAGTCCGTTTGGCTCAAAAGCGGACCGATGAATTGCAATCTAACTCGAAAACTAATAAACATATAATACTCAATGAAACACTGATCATAATCAAAACATCAGACCAACTCTGTCATTTGTTTGCAGAATTTATGTCCTAAAATTAAAAAAGTTGTTTAACAAACAATCATTAAAATATTGACACTGTTCACTATTTCTTACGAGGGAGGAGTGCAGAGAAAGGGACAGCCAGGTGTTAGAGAAGCACGTGCACAAGTGCCGACAAAGTTATTGATTCATTAACCTGTGCTGTGCCGTCTCCATCCTTTCTCGCACACCTGGCTGTCCCTTTCTCTGCACTCCTCCCTCGTAACAAATAGTGAACTGTGTCAATATTTTAATGATAGTTTGTTAAACAACTTTTTTTATTTTTAGGACATAAATTCTGCAAAAAACTCACAGAGTTAGTCTGACGTTTTAATTATGATCAGTGTTTCATTGAGTATTTTATATTTATTAGTTTTCGAGTTAGATTCCAATTCATAGGTCCGCTTTTGAGCCAAACGGACTATAGTTAGTGTGAGTGGGTTTGGTTTTACGCCGCTTTTAGCAATATTCCAGCAACATCACGGCGGGGCGCACCAGAAATGGGCTTCACACATTGTTCCCATGTGAGGAATCGAACAAATTGAGCACTGGTCAGTTGGGAGTCAGTATGTAAAATGTCTGAATGAGGTATTTTTATTAAGATGCGGCATAGTATTACACGCACGCACGTGTGCAATAATCTTGAACACAATGTTGAACCCATTCAGCTCATCCAATCCTAGGAAGAAGAAACATTTGTTATATCTTTATTAAAAACATAATTTATTTTGTGTAAACAAATCCGAGCCAAGTGTGTATTCGAGAGCTGTCTTGAACAAATTATTATCAAATATATGGCATAAATCATATTGTACTAAGTCAATATATAATATATCTACCTTTTCTTCAGCTGACATTAACTTTCAACAACCAAGCATGATACAGATGACGGATGACACTCACGGAGCTGAGGACGTCGCCATATATGCACGTGGTCCGATGTCGCACCTGTTTAACGGAGTGCACGAGGAGAATTACATTGCCCACGTGATTGGCTACGCTTCGTGCGTTGGGGCCAACAAGGACCATTGCTCTCATACCACGTCTTCAAGCAATAGGCTTGTGTTCAGTTATCCTCTTGTGTTCTACCTAGCCTTATTTCTTGTTAAGTAATTGCCGCATTGATATTGTTTTCTATCTTGTTGTGAAGAATAACCCATGAATCTAACGAAAATAATAGCTTATAGCAATAACCAACCAAGTATATCGATTGTTTAAACAACTAAACTATCTTTAAGTTTCTTTCTTTTAAAAATAGATATACATGTATATGTTTTTTAACCAATATTTTTATTGTTCCCAAACTTTGCTCAAATATGTTCATAAATATATATGGTTGTGTGGAGTTGCGTCCCTTAGTCTTGGCAGAATCCTATGATCATGGAATAGAATTCCAAATTAACCGTGATAATGTTTAAAGTCTGTCCAGTTGTAAGTGAAATACGGTTGAAACCGGCGTTAAATAATATATTTCCTCATTTTATGTGAAATTCGTTAAGTTGTTTATCCCGGGGAGTTGACCCAAGGAATGAAACTTTCTGGGAAGTCATCCTTGTCGGAGAGAATCCTCGTTGTCCTTCACTCCATGTCCTCGTCCTTCATCGTCCTTCACTCCATGTCCTCGTCCTTCACTCCATGTCCTCGTCCTTCACTTCATGTCCTCGTCCTTCACTCCTTGTCCTCGTTGTCCTTCACTCCTTGTCCTTCACTCCATGTCCTCGTCCTTCACTCCTTGTCCTCGTCCTTCACTCCATGTCCTCGTCCGTTACTCCATGTCCTCGTCCTTCACTCCATGTCCTCGTCCTTCCTCGTCCTTCACTCCATGTCCTTGTCCTTCACTCCTTGTCCTCGTTGTCCTTCACTCCTTGTCCTCGTTGTCCTTCACTCCATGTCCTCGTCCTTCACTTCTTGTCCTCGTCCTTCACTCCATGTCCTCGTCCTTCACTCCTCGTCCTTCACTCCATGTCCTCGTCCTTCACTCCATGTCCTCGTTGTCCTTCACTCCATGTCCTCGTTGTCCTTCACTCCATGTCCTCGTCCTTCACTCCATGTCCTCGTTGTCCTTCACTCAATGTCCTCGTTGTCCTTTACTCCATGCCCTGTAAGCCTTCCCTTCACGTGTGCATCTTCTGTCCTTGCATTATCACCACTCATTCTACTGGAATGCACATATTTTCAGTCAATAAAAGTATTTTCAAGAATGTGTCTGTCTTAATGAATCAATGTCACTAATACAAATTGGACTGACAACCCGTCCTCCTAAGCGAATGACCATTAAGTATTCTCCACGCGGCCGTTCCATTAAGAAGTCGAGAACATTCAGTATTCGCAGGGATACGATACAGATCCAGTAAATACTCGCAAGGAGGAGGTTTGACAATTAAATATTCACTGGGATGAGAAACCATCGCGTATTCTTAAAGGGGAATACGAACGAAAATCAAACTTTTGATATGTCTGACTGACTGACTGAGTTTGGTTTTACGCCGCTTTTAGCAATATTCCAGCTACATCACGGCGGGGGAACACCAGAAATGGGCTTCACACTTTTGATATGTTGTAAAGGATATTCTAAAAGTCACCTTCCGTGATTAAAATTGAGCAAAATGTTTTTAAAATAGCAATAAAAACGCAAAAAAGTACTCGTATTTTCGCCTATTACGGAAACACCCGACAGTTAATGAGCAGAGGGGGTATCACGTGACATGACGTCATCTGTGCCTGTTGCTGATGGCTTCCTCGTGGATTTTATCTCACAACTTAACAGTGTCCATGGATTCTCAAGCAGTAAGACATATTCCTGATGTCATTTCTGAAATGGATGTTAGACCGTACCAATACGATCCGATTTTACACCTTGCAAGACAATCTTCCACTGAAGATGAAGAAGAAGAATCAAGCGAAACGGAGGCACCGCTTGAGGTCAAAATAAATGTAAAAATAGACCATACATTTAACAAGAATACTATTTGTCAGCAAAATGTGATACAGTTCCAACAAGGAAACCCACCCCTATAAATATATGACCAGTCCCAAAGAATTGGGGTTTTTTAAATGTCATTGCAGATCCTTTTGTGTCAAATGGGTGACTGTAGGGTGTCTGGGATTTAAAAACAAAATACATGTAATTATGCTTCAGACGGGGGAAAATAGAAATTATCTCCTACAAAAATTACACTGGAATTATTTTGTTGAAAACAATTAGGATCCTAGTTCTCATTAATAACGTATCAAGTCTCCATACAAGATCCCAGCCTGGTCTAGCAGAGATAATATTCGCGACGAGGATAGATTATTCCCCGAAAACTGGTAAATTATAAAATACTAGTCAGGACAACGTATGTTTTCCCAGTGTTTGGTTACGTAAATAGTTATGGTACTCTGTCATAGCCTTAGAATGACATCTTGTCAGCCAATGAGAATACAGAACAACTTTCACGGCACACACTACTGACAAATAGCGAGTCTGATGCCGACGTAATTGGACAAAATGGAATAATATGAAAGCAGTACTTCGTGATTTGCCGTTGTATTCGGCAACGTTTGAGGTAGACTGCAGCATTTAGGTCTCCAAACCGACAAGAACGTTAAAGCGAAACATTTTCAAGCTCATGTGATATCTCTTACTGATTTTGATAATATATATCTCATGGGTAGCAGTCGAACTGCCCCAGCTACAAAATGCCCCAGCATATTTAGTCATTCATTCTAATTTGGTCAAATTTATTTAAAATGATTAAATATATGCCGTAAATGCATAGTTTTTGTCAACTTTGATATTATGTTCTTCATGTAATTCAACGAGGAAACAGTTTCTTTTGATCGTCAGTATATATTGATGAGTACCCTGCCGTACGCGTGGCACACGTCACAAATGTTCACCTTAAATACACGGACACGCATCATGGAGTCTAAATATGGAATGCTATCAGTTTTGTCACTTATGTGTTGAAGCAAAAAACCAGGTATGTGAAACTATTAAACTATCAAAAATTCTAAGCCGAACAATGACAATGAACAATGTGACTTTTGTAACAGACCAGTTTTATTTTCAAGAATATCAAGTCAACTCCTAAAGAATACGTAAAGATCCCTGTACCCAGAGAATACGTAAATGTCCCTCCTTCCAGAGAATACATAAAGGTCCCTCCACCCAGAGAATACACAAAGGTCCCTCCTCCCAGAGAATACGTAAACGTCCCTCCACCAAGAGAATACATAAAGGTCCCTCCACCCAGAGAATACACAAACGTCCCTCCACCCAGAGAATACATAAAGGTCCCTCCACCCAGTGAATACACAAACGTCCCTCCATCCAGAGAATACACAAACGTCCCTCCACCCAGAGAATACATAAAGGTCCCTCCACCCAGAGAATACATAAAGGTCCCTCCACCCAGAGAATACATAAAGGTCCCTCCACCCAGAGAATACATAAAGGTCCCCCCACCCAGAGAATACATAAAGGTCCCTCCTTCCAGAGAATACACAAACGCCCCTCCTCCCAGAGAATACACAAACGTCCCTCAACCCAGAGAATACATAAAGGTCCCCCCACCCAGAGAATACAGAAACGTCCCTCCACCCAGAGAATACATAAAGGTCCCTCCACCCAGAGAATAAAGGTACATAAACGTCCCTCCACCCAGAGAATACACAAAGGTCCCTCCTTCCAGAGAATACACAAACGTCCCTCGACCCAGAGAATACATAAAGGTCCCTCCACCCAGAGAATACATAAAGGTCCCTCCACCCAGAGAATACATAAAGGTCCCTCCACCCAGAGAATACCCAAAGGTTCCTCCACCCAGAGAATACGTAAACGTCCCTCTACCCAGAGAATACATAAAGGTCCCTCCTTTCAGAGAATACATAAAGGTCCCTCCACCCAGAGAATACATAAAGGTCCCTCCACCCAGAGAATACATAAAGGTTCCTCCTTTCAGAGAATACATAAAGGTCCCTCCACCCAGAGAATACATAAAGGTCCCTCCACCCAGAGAATACATAAACGTCCCTCCACCCAGAGAATACACAAACGTCCCTCCACCCAGAGAATACATAAAGGTCCCTCCTTTCAGAGGATACATAAAGGTCCCTCTACCCAGAGAATACATAAACGTCCCTCCACCCAGAGAATACATAAAGGTCCCTCCTTCCAGAGAATACATAAAGGTCCCTCCTTCCAGAGAATACACAAACGTCCCTCCTCCCAGAGAATACATAAAGGTCCCTCCACCCAGAGAATACATAAACGTCCCTCCACCCAGAGAATACATAAAGGTCCCTCCACCCAGAGAATACACAAAGGTCCCTCCACCCAGAGAATACACAAAGGTCCCTCCTCCCAGAGAATACGTAAACGTCCCTCCACCCAGAGAATACATAAAGGTCCCTCCACCCAGAGAATACACAAACGTCCCTCCACCCAGAGAATACATAAAGGTCCCTCCACCCAGAGAATACACAAACGTCCCTCCACCCAGAGAATACGTAAAGGTCCCTCCTTCCACAGAATACATAAAGGTCCCTCCTCCCAGAGAATACGTAAAGGTCCCTCCTCCCAGAGATTACGTAAAGGTCCCTCCTCCTTAAAATACGTCATGATTCACGCTTAAAAGACCCTCCTGCTAGAGCATGCACAATGGTCTCTCCTCCGTGAAAATACTGAATGGTCCCTTCCTCTCCTCGGGCTGAAAGGAGAATACTAGACAATTGCAATAATTTGCTGGGTGAAAGATAAAGTCATCAGAAACTTGTACCCCAATTTGTGTTTCAAAAATATGGTTTATTATGTTTTTATCGCGAAAACAGTTTCTGTTATCTGAGCTTCGGCCATTATGCATATTCCGCTGGAACTCACGTGACCTTTCCGCTCGTGACGTCATATGTGACAAGCGTCCGCCATATTGCCAAAGAACAAGCGCTACAGTAATACAAATCGTGTTGTTTCTGTCGTTTTTGTAAATGGTACGATGGTGTATTCCGTTGCCTGGAGATACACAGAATCATCGAACAATGGAAAGAGCCACCATTTCTTCCGTTTTCCAAGTAAAGAGACAGATTTAGACAGGAGAAATGCTCCGATCATTCAGAGTCGGACGCATATGATAGAGACATACATACATTGGGTATGAAAATCCCAAAGCTCGGTTGAAGAAGGAAGTACCCACGAGATTCATTTATACTCCATCATTCCCTGTTACAACTTACTGTCAGTGGTATTTTCAACAGAAATTAGATTAAAGTCCGATTGCCAGTCGAATTGCCCCCGCTACAAATTGCCCCAGCAAATTTAGTCAAATTGCCTGGACGTTTTGGTGACTCATTACAAAACAACAACAAGAAATTGAAGTTTCCAAGTTATAATTTGTGAAGCAATGACATAGGCTAAGTACAAACCTTTGATTTTGAACAGGGCTGATAACTTACTGAACAGGCTATGGTCGACATGGGGTCAAACTAGAGAATTCACTATCAGTGGGTCCATTCGAGAAACACAGCAATGTGTGAACAGAAGTCTCTAATAGCGAGTATGTCCACCTCGGGCTAGAATACATGCAAAACACACGTCTTCTGACTGAAGTTGTGAGGCGTCTGATGACGTCAGCTGGGATACGCCCCCATTCTTCGACAAGGGCTTGAGCCATTTGCTGTACTGTAACTGGTGGATACTGTCTCCGTCGAATAACTCTATGAAGGTGGTCCAATAAGTGCTCGGGTAGCCTAATGGTTAAAGCGTTGGCTCGTCACGCCGAAGACCCGGGTTCGAATCCCCACATGGGCACAATGTGTGAAGCCCTTTTCTGGTGTCCCCCCGCCGTGATGTTGCTGGAATATTGCTAAAAGCAGCGTAAAACCAAACTCAGCCAGTCAGTCAGCCAATAAGTGCTCGATTGGCGACATGTCAGGAGAGCGTGCAGGCCATGGCAGGACGTTGACGTTGTTGGCGTGAAAGAAGGTCTTGACGACTCCAGCGATATGTGGGCGAGCACTGTCCTGCTGGAACAATATCCCCTGTGGCTGTTGCTGCATCCTCGATAATCTCCAGGGTATGCATTACGTTCACTCTCCACTATACCCTGGATGCATCCACGGGTTGGCCCGATGATTTTATTACCTCCCTTTGCTGGCTTATCCAATCATATGTCTACGCTGGGAAGTTGAGCGTACCAATTACAACTCACTCTCGCTTCTTAAATTATCTAACCGTTTAAACTTGGCAACACAATTGATGCAGAGGTACTCTGAAAGAGGTAGAAGGAGTTCTTTCATATATATTTTTAAGTTTCAGATCTGTCAATTTATCTGTATGACTTCCCCAAAAATCTGTGTGGCACTGCGAACAAACCTTCGCGACTGCGACCGCTATCTTGGTTGACACTGGCAAGCTGGGATGTAACGGCGGCTTAGCTGATTGGCTACTGTGAGAATGCGAAGCCAGCAAAGGGAGGTTATATAATTATTGGGCCAAGCCGTGGATGCAACCACCCAGCAGGCACATCAACGTTGTTTCAACGTTGAGAATAGGTTGGTCCTCAATGTTAAAATTAGATTGAACAAGAAAAAAATTGTGTCCAGGGACATGGATGCCCCCACCGA